TGTCTCGCGGGCCGAGACAGCAAACACTGTCTCGCCCGTCGAGACAGCAAAAGCTGTCTCGCGAACCTGTTTTTTGCCAACTGTTCTTGGAGGTTATAAATACCCTCCTAAGGCCATTTTTCCAGAGGCTGATCATTGTGAGTACTTCAGAGCAATCCAGAGCAATCCAGAGCAGAGAGAGAGCAGAGGTGCTGATCTTACGGCCAATCCTTGAAATTGAGCTTTGACTTGATTTCAAGAAGAACGACTATCTTACATCGATAAGATATCGTTTCAATTTCTCACTTCGATAAACGAAGTCAGAATCATAAACCCCTCACGGTTCAATCAGAATCTGTGATTTGGTGGTCCACGAGTCAAAGCGCTCCCGGCACAGGCAAAGATCCCACGAAAGCAGTGATCCAAACAACGATCCTGCGTTTATTTTCTCAAGAGTTGTAATTTTCTTTTTGTTGTGTAAAAGAGTCTTATAAAAAGGCTGTTTTCTTTGAATTTATTGTAATCGACCGAAGATATAATGAATTCGACAACAAATTCGACTTTTGGCGAAAACAAACTGGCGACCACAGTGGGAGCCAACGGTCTCGCTGCCGAGACCGTCGTGTCGCAGCCGATCAAGATTCCAGTTGAATCCATGGTCGAATACGAATTCGACCAAACCAAGTTTGAGGAATATTTCTCATCATCCTCTTCAAGATCTTCAGTATCTCGCAAGTACAAGAGGATCTCACAATTGAGGAAGACTTACATGCCAAAGAAGGCACAAAATGAAGATTCTCGCTTGATTGTTGCTGAGAATTTCACTCGCAATACCTCTGCTCACAATGGCTCTTATCTAGTTAAAGAGTCATCGAATCAAAGCCCGCCGGTATTGACGAAAAGAGCTCGTCAGAGACAACGCCAACGCTGTGCTCGCCAAATGGCTAAAGCCTTGGAACAAACCGACGGGGTTCGTTACCACGCGGACCTAGAGTCGAGGAGACATCGAGTGGTTCAGTTGTCTCAACAACCAATCACTCGTATCTCTGCTAAAACAACGACGGATGAATGGACTATTGTCAAAAAGACTCGTTCGACCCTCAAAGAACGTATACAAAAACGTCGTGCAAAAGCTGCTAATGCCCATGCTCTCTCACAACAAAGACGAGAAAAGAGAAAGGAAATGGTGACCAAAGAATCACCAAAACTTCGTCAAGTTTGGATTCCAAAGTCTGGACTTATGCAAAATCAGCATTCGGAGCCCGTTAAGACCCCATACCCGCAAATGGGTGGTTTTAGACGTGCGACTCCCAACATAACCTTGGATCGCTCAAAAACAAAAATAAATTGTCCTGAGAATGCCAACAAGGTTTTATACCCCCAGAAGAAGACGCATTCACCAAATGATATCGTCATACCTGGGAGATCATACCAACAGACGATACGATTTTTTGGCAATCATACCGATGAATCGTATTATCAAGTTGAAGTTGTGAATAATTTTCGAAAGAGAGTTATTCGAGAGATAAACTCTCGTTGTTCCTGTGCGCGACTCGTTAAAACAGCATTATCAGAATGTGACTGTTTCAAACGAGAAGTCATCCCACGAAAAGTCTCTGTATTATCGAAACCTAAGCCGAGACATTTCCGCAAAAGAAAATCAGCAGCCTAAGATGATGAATTCCCTGAAGTCACCATCAACGTGGCTGATAAAAGAAAGTCTAAGCGGCATTCAAGTGACTCAAATCCCGACTTTTCCCCAGAAGGAAAAGTCAATTCAAGAATCGCCCGACGGAAGTCTCTACAAGAGAATGCAAGAAGGAATGTCCTCGGAGGATGAATTCTCGGACACTTATTCTGCAATCGCTTCTGATGATACAATATCTAGCACAGGACAAATCAGAGAAGTATTCACAATCACTGCTGATCAGTTCACTCAAATACTTCAAGAAGCTCTAGCGAAACAACGTGAAGAAATTAGAGCTGAAGTGAAGACAGAGATGAAGTTAGCTATTCAACAAATGAGAGAATTGCTAACTCAACAACCTCAACCTCCTGAGTCCAGTCAGCGAGCTGAATCCAGCCGCCACACTCAGAGTGGTTGATATTGATCCAGAAGTGGATGAAGTCATTATGACTAAAACACCTTTCAATGACAATAACATTGGGGGTGGTTCAACAGATCCTCCCAATAACAACATTGGGAGTGGTTCAATTGCACCGTTTAGTAATACTGGGGGTGGCCCAAGTATCTCTGCTCGAAATTATTCAGAAAGAGACGATGACGGGAAAATGCAAAAGCTTGAAGACAAAATCAATGCTTTGATGACGACTCAAGAAGTTAAGAAGACGGGTATTCCATGTCCTTATCCGAGGAAATGGGATTCAATACCATACCCGACCAAATTCAATCTGATTAACTTCACACCGTTTGAGGGGAAGAATTCGCCGATTCAGCACTTGATTTATTTCAAGTCTCATTTGGGCATGATCTCTGGAAACGAGGTTTTAATGGTCCGGTCATTCGTTGGCACCCTTCATGGTCCCGCCTTCGATTGGTACCGACGTCTCAAGCTAGGGAGCATCAATTGCTGGGATGACATGGAAAGTTCGTTCCTCAACAACTTCTTCGATGATGACACCGAAGTGTCAATCGGAACCCTTTTGGATGAGAAGCAAAAAGACGGAGAGTCAGTCGACGATTTTGTCAAGCGTTTCCGTGGCAAAGCAATGAATTGCAGAGATCCTATTACAGAGGAGTTCATCCTGTAAACATGCCACAATAACCTCTCCATCGATGTCTTGGAAGCTCTGGGGGTCGTGCCATCCACAACTTGGAAGGAGTTAAAATCTCGGGGTGAACAAGCTGAGCACTTTCTTAAAAGAAAGAAAGCCGAGAGAAGCCAACCAATGACATCTGCAATCATTGAGAATGCGACTCTCGATCCGAGGTTTCAAAAAGAATATTCTTTCGAAGATGATGAAGCTCCAGCCATCTTGGAATACCTCCTCGCTAATGACAAAATCGAGCTACCACCTATTAAAGATCAGGATGGTGCTAAAATGATTACGGATCCAAATTACTGTGCGTACCACAGAAGGGTTCTTCATCCCACCGAGATTTGCTTTGGATTCAAAAACAAGATCCAAGCCCTAATTGACTCCGGCGTCATAACGACAAAAGAAGTCGAATAAAGACGACCATAAACTCCATTGGGTACCCGAGTATAAACTGTTTCCCCTCACTACGAAAAGTATACGAGTATAAACTGCTCCTCGATACTCCAAAAGGTATATGAGTCTAAACTATTTCCTTTCCTTCACGGGAAGTTCCTGGAGAGCGCTATGCATAGTACTCTTAAGGATAACCCGATCATACAGCTGAATATAATGATAAACCTAGTTTCATAAGAAAATTAAATGTAATATTCTTTAGGGATAACCCGATCATTATGAACAAAGTGATAAACACTAAACTCCTACTGACTTCTGAATACTCTTTTGCTGAGATGAGATTCGATCACCTCTTTAGATCAATCTTCCCTCACAAAATTCCCATTTTGGTCAAACCTTTAAACAATTAGGACCAAAGCCAAAATCCCCTCTTGATTCCTTCCATGAACAAGAGGTCCACCTTCGATTTGCGCAATCAAACCTATGAAAGTTAGGATTGCTTCAAATTTCAATTGATCAAACCTTATTCAGATTCTCTGAATAGAAATCCCACTTCAAATTTCATTTGTACCAGGAGATAGAATATAAAATTCTTCATCTCCGATTCCGGGTTTATCTCTACCAACAAACAAGAGATCAGGAGATAGAATATATAAAATTCTTCCTCTCCGATTCCGGGTTTATCTCTACCAACAAACAAGAGATCAGGAGATAGAATATATAAAATTCTTCCTCTCCATCATCGGGTTTATCTCTACCAACAAACAAGAGACCAGGAGATAGAATATAAAATTCTTCCTCTCCATCATCGGGTTTATCTCTACCAACAAACAAGAGACCAGGAGATAGAATATAAAATTCGTCCTCTCCGATTCTGGGTTTATCTCTACCAACAAACAAGAGACCAGAAATACTCCAATAGGTACACGCGAGTCTAAACTGTTTTCCTACCCTCAACAGGAAGTTTCTGGAGAATATTACCCAGAATATTCTTAAGAATAACCTGAATACTCCAATAGGTACACGAGTCTAAACTGTTTTCCTACCCTCAACAGGAAGTTTCTGGAGAATATTACTCAGAATATTCTTAAGAATAACCTGAATACTCCAATAGGTACACGAGTCTAAACTGTTTTCCTACCCTCAACAGGAAGTTCTAGAGAATATCAGTTAAAATATTCTTAAGAATAACCTGACTACCCTAAACGGGTATATGCAGTGTCAACTTGACGACAAGAGCTGATTTCACAAGTACAAGGTTCCAACTTTAATTCAAGATCTCTACAATGGACAAGCGATAAACGCGATGCCGGAAGAATCTTAACTATTCTACAAAGCACTGAATAGATTGAGAGACAAAGAGATCAAAAGTTGAAGCCACCTACGGGTTCCTCTACACGATCTACTCAACAAGCATTGAAAGGATCATAAGTAAGTCTATCTTATCCAAAGCATCCCAGAACTCCTCTATAAAAGGATGAGTCTGGAATATTTTGAGGGGTATCTGTAGGCGTCAAAAAATGCTGAAAAGATATCCAAATACAGCTCAAGAGGAAAATCATCCAAAAAGGCAGAAGAAACACAAGTCTTTTAACTGTCTCGCACGCGAGACAGACTTGACTGTCTCGCCGTGCGAGACAGTCTTTACTGTCTCGCCGCGCGAGACAGTCTTTACTGTCTCGCGGGCGAGACAGACTTTTACTGTCTCGCCCACGCGAGACAGTGTTTGCTGTCTCGCCGTGCGAGACAAAATTTACTGTCTCGCACGTGAGACAGCTTTCAGATGGTCAAAACCGCCTTTGCAACTGCCCTACACGTGGCCACTAACTGTTCAAGAACGTGGGAAACGTCGTGGGCGAGAATCACGTGGATAACTGCCAAAATAACGGAGTTTGAAACGTGGGAAGACAGTTAAAACGAAAACTGCCTGCGGTTACTGTTTCTGAGACAGTATTTACGCTGGGCGAGACAGCAAATTTACTGTCTCGCCCAGCGAGACAGCAAACACTGTCTCGCCCGCCGAGACAGCAAATGCTGTCTCGCGAGCCTGTTTTCTGCCAACTGTTCTTGGAGGTTATAAATACCCTCCTAAGGCCATTTTTCCGGGGGGCGGATAAGGCTGATCATTTTGAGCACTTCAGAGCAATCCAGAGCAGAGAGAGCAGAGGTCTTGAACTTTCGGCCAATCCTTGATATTCAGGCTTTGACTTGATTTCAAGAAGAACGACTATCTTACTTCGATAAGATATCGTTTCAATTTCTCACTTCGATAAACGAAGTCAGAATCATAAACCCCCACGATTCAATCAGAATCTGTGACTTGGTGGTCCACGAGTCAAAGCGCTCCCGGTACAGGCAAAGATCCCACGAAAGCAGTGATCCAAACAACGATCCTGCGTTTATTTTCTCAAGAGTTGTAATTTTCTTTTTGTTGTGTAAAAGAGTCTTATAAAAAGGCTGTTTTCTTTGAATTTATTGTAATCGACTAAAGATATAATGAATTCGACAACAAAACCGACTTTTGGCGAAAACAGCGGCCAACACCTGTCAGTTGTCTGCCAAGTCAACTATCTGCCTGGACTCGACTTAATTTACCTATCTGCCCTTCTGATCCTCTATAAAAGGAAGCAATGCAGCTTAAGGTAACCCTCTGGTCTTTTGACATAACTTCGGAACTTTCTCCATCATTTGACACTTTTCCATTCAAGTTCATATACTGATTTAATTATCGGAGAAACAACCGGAGAACCCAACTCCGGCCTCTCAAGAGTTTTCATGTGCATGAGAAGATTGCAGGCTCCAGAACTAGTCAATCGAAGAAGCTTGAGGACCCTAAAACTCTTCTAATCCACTCGCAAACCCCCCTGTTTGATAACTGTCATCAACAAAAAAAAACAAGAAGTTTTAGCTTGGTGCAAATAATTTGGACTGTTTGGAGGCTACAATATAGCTCTCAAAGTCTAAAAAGATGTTCTAAATAAACATACCTGTTTGATGTAATTTTAAAAAATATTGGACACTTATTTTATTTGATATAATTTAAACAAAGTGAAATTTTACATTATATACACCACTATTCTTGAGAAAGATATATACCTAAACTTTTATTTAAATAAAATGTAAAATCTTAAGAAAATAAATCGAACCTTCAATTTCAGTATCAACCACCATTTTTTTGTGCATGTCCATTAACTAACTTTTGCCTCTAATAGAAACGACCTTCAATTATCAAGGACGAAGGAAAGGAGGAAAAACGTTCGAGCAAAAGAATCCAATTCATTTCTTTTTTGTCGCTTTACCCTCCCTCTTTAGGTTTTCTTAAAGATTTGGACGGAATTAATCTCGATTTAGTCGCCGGCGGGCTTGGATTTGTGCGTGCTCTGAGCAATGCCTTGTCCGCTGGTTGATCGGGCGACGAGCGATCTCTTGATCGGCTCCGATTGGGCAATGAACGTCGAGATCTGTGACGCTATCAACCGCGAACCTGCGTATGAAAATTTTACCCATAATTGGTTTATTTTTTCTTTATGTTTCTTTGTTTGGATATTGTTCGATTCGTTTATCCGTATTTCATCTTGCATTTCCGAATTAAATCCTTATATCTGCATTTTTTAATGGAAATGATGAATTTAGGATTATCTGATATAAGAATTGTGTTTATTCTTTTCACCAAATTGTGTTCTTGGCTTTGAAGCACAGATATTTGGATGCAAATGTGGAAAAAATAAGATATTTATTGAAGCAGACAAATAAAAAAAATTTATTGAAGCGTAAAATAAAATAATGATGAGAAAATCTGTTATATGTGATATATATTTCTTTTTTTGGTCTAAGATAACATTTAAGAGTTAAATCGGATGGAAAAACAAATCTACGTGAATTTAGAAGATAACAGTGGCACTTCGGTTCCATCTCCTACCAGTTACTTCCATGATTGTAGATAAACTACCTCAGTTCTCGCTTCATATAGAATAATCTAATCCACGTATAGCATCAATTTCTTGATTTATCCCAGTTGTATTTTCTTGTCTTTCCTATTGAGTGAAAATGTAGGCTAGCATCAATTTCTTGATTTATCCCAGTTGTATTTTCTTGTCTTTCCTATTGAGTGAAAATGTAGGCAGATACTTTCCCTTACATATTCTGGCAACGTTGTATTTTCTTGTCTTTCCTATTGAGTGAAAATGTAGGCAGATACTTTCCCTTACATATTCTGGCAACGGAGTACTTAATATTCTCAGTGATTAAATATAAAATGAAAGTGTTAGGTGTTTCACTTTAGCTATTGATTATCTTAGTTTCAGTCTATACTCCTGATTATAAAACCTCAATAGCGTGCTAAAAGGAAAATATATAGCACATAATCTATCATGCAGTTAAATATTTGTATACTGACTAGCTTGGTGATCACAGTTGTATTCTATCACTCAAAGAGCAATTAAAAAATGTGAAGAGTGCATTCACCCAGTCAAATCTTTGTCCATAAACATGAATTTTATTTTCCTTATATATTTTGGCAAAAACAAATGCATCCATATGTCTATCTGGACTAAATAGATCACTTCTGGTTTTGCCTTATATTTTAGTTCTTACCTGCTTTATGTAAAACAGACTAGCCAAGGAGGTCGTTAAAGGCCTTAAAAAGCGTATTGGACACAGGAATCCGAAGGTTCAACTTCTTGCCTTAACAGTAAGTCAACAAGCTTCTAGATGATTACTGTGCCTTTGCAAACATTTCTTTCTATTCTTATTCTTGTGTTTCTTTCTCAATTCTTATTCTTGTGTTTCTTAGTTGTATTTGGAATGGATGTTGTTGATGGGTTTTAATTTGTTGGAAAATACATTCATAATGTCTGTAAGCAGTTTAAGTTTACGATTTGGATCTCGTAGTTCCTCCAATGCATTCACCTGTAATATCTTGTTAAGTAGGATTAGTATATCACTTTGTATTTGGAAACGAGCAATGCTTTGATCTAAATATCTAATAAACCTACCCCTGGGCATGTTCTTGTTGTCATCTTATATTCTAGTGGGCAATGCGGCATAGTCGCATAGGATTATACCTGAGGATTGGTGGTAGAGTCCTATGCAATATAGTGCTGCATTAGCACCTACAGACGCTTCATCTAGGTCGCTGTATACGTGTCTGACACTTCCCGTATCTGTGTCCATGTCGGGCACTCCTTGGACACTTCTTGAATACACACAAACATTTATTTAGATGTGTATCCAATATATAACACATATTTTAGTTAAAAAACCTCGTGATACACTTCTTGAACGTATTATCGTACACTTACCTCAATATTATGCAACTCGTTAGACTCAGGATAGGTTCATTTTAGCACATGCCTAGTTCATGAGTACGATTTAAAAGGGTTATTTGGGTATCTATTTCAAAAACGAGCGGGTTTGCAATTTATAATCTACTCAATAAATGAAACATAAAAATGGCATAAGGATTTTAGTTCCCATAACATGTCAATGACAAACAATATCAATCTCATATAGATTATTAATTTTAACATGTATGTATATAACGGTGTCCCCATATCCTAACTTTTACAATTTTGCCGTGTACCATATCCGCGCCCGTGTCTGTGTCCGCACTTGCACCCGCACCCGCACCCGCACCCGTATCCGTGCAACATAGATTAGTACTGATAATTTTATGGAATATAGTATAGTTAATTTGTTTTTTAACATTACAACAGCATGTCTGGGGGAATATTGTTACAGAAGACATGGAGCATGATTAAAGTAGAGAGTGCTTCCGTCATACTATGTGACTGCAGAGTACTTGTTAAAACAGTTATATGACTATCCAAGCTCAATAAACCTAGATTGTTTGCAACTAAAAACAAGCTGGAAAAATGGTTGCAGAGGAAACAGAAATATTGAGATGGTGATGACCAGGAATACAACAAAAACAGGATTAAGCTAACGTATGGAGTAGATTAAATTGATTAGTTTATAGAGAATGCTAGAGATGTTTTTGACATGTGCAACAGAGATTGTTGATTTCAACAGTTGGTATAAGTGATAGCCTGATAACTCAAGCAATAGATAGAATTAGGATTAGATTAAAATGCACATGGATTTATGGATAAAAAAGATATGATAGTTGTTAAGGTAAATGAAAAGTTGCTCACTTGAGATCTACTATAATAAGGATTCATTTAGCCAACTGGGGAAAAAATTGACTAAAGCTTTATTGATGATAAGTCGATTGTTATTTTATTGTGATCCCTGCTAATCAATTTCTTCATTCAGTTCATAGTCCTTTTGCTAGCTTGACTTTCAGGACATCTTTTGCTTACGTTGGTATGTGTTTAATCTTTCATTTTAGCTGCTGGAGACAATAATTAAAAATTGCGGGGACATAGTCCATATGTATGTAGCAGAGAAAGATCTCCCGCATGAAATGGCAAAGATAGCAAAAAAGAAGGTATCATTTTTATTTCTTAAAAGAGATTCTCTTATAGTTTGATCTTATAGAAACATCCTGAATGATTCTTCTTTTACGTGCAGCCTGATTTTAGTGTCAAGGAGAAGATATTAGTCTTAGTAGATACTTGGCAGGATGCTTTTGGGGGCCTACAAGCAAAATATCCACAATATTATGCAGCATATCGTGAGTTACTGGTATTCTTCATTCTTTCTTCATCGTATTCCCTGACGTTTAAGTAGGATGTTCTTTTTTTTCATAACTATTATATCCTTCATTTTTAGAAAACTACAAGCGGAAATTTTCTAAAAGAAATGAATTTTTTTATGGTTTTAGTGTGCTGGAGTAGTTTTCCCAAAAAGGCCCCAGAGTGCAGCACCTATGTTTACTCCAAAGAAAAACTATCTTACATCCTATCCTCAATCTTCCCCAAGTTCCAATTATCGATCAGAAGCATCTGAGACAGCTGCTGGTTCTGACATTCCAACTTTGAGGTCTGTTTCTTTCTTCCATTTTTCTAGTGCTAAAAACAATAATAATAAGAATAATTACTAGAATGCAGATTCATGAGTATTAGTAGTATCATATGATATAAATTTTGTTAAATCATTTCATTACTTCAGAATTTTGTTGATGACGTTTTGAAAACCAGGCATTGTAGAAATTTTCAACTCAACACCACATAAGAACTATTCCTAGCTATCTAGTGCAAATTTTTTTGTACATTCATAACTTAAAGTGTTCAAGTATGTGTGCGTATGATATGTAATTGCCTTCTGCTTTTTCAAACTGTAGATGAAAACTGGAAACCTTTTTCCGTAGGCATACCAAGACATTCTCGTGCTATCATTAATTTACTGCTAGGAACTCTTCGATATGTGCGCGCAATTATAAGCATTTCAGACAATGACATAACAACTTTCTCATCAAGAGCCTATTAGGTGCACTGTAAACAATTAACCTTGCAAAAATACACCATAGGAAAGATTTAAATTTGATGTATCTGTATTCTATCATTTGAAATTGTTTAGTAGGAACTTTCTGACGATATGTTTATTTTGAGGAATTAAATTTCCTTCTGGTGGTACTGACTTTATGAGGATATTAAATTTCAGAGTACCAATTCATTCAACGGTTCATTGAGAGGTTCTAATTATGTATATATTTTATTGAACTGTGTGATTTAGATATGTAATACAGTGTGTTTACAGTTAAGTCAGCAGTTAAATAACAAACAAAGAAGAAAGAAACAAATAAATTGAAATTGATTGCAAGTCTTGGATGAACCCAGCCATAATAGCATCTTTTTATGATGTGGCATTTAGATACTTTCTCGTATTTCCTCTTAGATCTGCTCAGGGCCTTTGGTTTTTCTACATTTTCCTCTTATACAAGTATGCACGTTACTGGCTGTTTTTTATTGTACTTTTTGGTCGTATCTATAGATCCAAGTCTTTATGCTTATCTTTTAATCTTCATCCAGCCTTGCAGAGATTCAAAATGCTCGTGGTATTATGGATGTTCTCTCGGAAATGCTTAATGCCTTGGACCCTGGGAACAAAGAGGTATCCTGAATTTTAAGTATTGAATATATTTTAGTTTTATAGTAGGATAGTTTGTAAAACTAAATCCGTGAATAATAACGAAGCACTAAGATAAAATTCAGTTATAATCTATAGCAAGTCATAATCAAGAATTGCTTTCGAGTCATAGAAGCTCCCATAAGAACTAAGCTTGCATTTGGGATCTAAAAATCTTAAAACCATTTTTTGTTCTAAGCACTTCAAGTTTGGCTAAGGTGATTTTCATGTGTGCGTGCGTGCGTGCATGTGTGAATATTAAGTTATTTGCTGTGTAGGTAGTTATGTGGACTAGACGTGAATTTGATAATATTGCCAGAATGATATACTCTTAGTTTGTGGTTGTTTCTGTTCTAACACTTTTATGTTATTCTCAGGGATTGGGACAGGAAGTGATTCTTGACCTTGTTCACCAGTGTCGGTCATACAAGCAGAGATTGGTACATCTTGTAAACACGAGTTCGTAAGGCCTTACAACTGTTACTCCCTGCTAACGGAAAAACCCATAGATACCTAGATTTGACTGTTTGGCCTTTTTTTTTGCGATGACTAATGCTTGTGCTAAAAACTGTTAAGTGGAGCAATAATGCTTCAACTTACTAAGCTCAACGCCAAGTGAATGCTTTTAGAATGTTTGGGAAATTTCCTTCATAGTCAATTTGTTGTCTTTCTCCTACATGCGTATCTTGCCTTTTCAGTCACTAATTTATCCATTTCTATTTTCCTCTGTATCAATTTTCTGCTTATTTCTTTCTGTTACTTTAATATCCTTTCGCCTTACTAGCATTTCTTTCCCCCTTAGGAACTAGTTTTACATTTTCTCGCTCTGTAATGTCCTATTTACGCATATTATTTTATTCCAAGATGTGAATGAAATATTATATTATGTTTTCTCGATAATATAGCATGGTTGTGATGTTTCATGCTGTGAAATATCTTCATTGTCTTTATTATATATTACAGACTATACTAATAACCCCCGGTCCCCAACTGTGAAATTCATTTTGTTTGACTCTCGACTTTCTCTATGGCACATAGCTACTGTAATTCCCTGTAACAAATCTATCATCTCCCCCTTATAGTCTTTCCTGGGAATTTGAATAATTTGAAACTTTTCTTTTTGGGATTGTGGCAAGCTGCCTCTCTTGTCCATGGCTTCCATGACCAGGGCGTTGGTCCATAGCTGATTCTACTTTGATGGGATTTGATGTATCAATTTATTTTATGCATGATCTACTCCTGCCTCATTTGCATAACTTAAACTTTTTACTCTCTTTTGAAATTCTTATAGGGATGAAGATCTTCTTTGCCAGGGACTTGCATTAAATGATGATTTGCAGCATGTCCTATCCAAACATGATGCTCTTAATGCAGGTGTTGCTGTTCGTATGCAGAAAACAAAGTCTCTACAGGCACTTGTAGACATTGATGATCCTGCAATAACTAATTCAGATGGTAGCTCACAAACTGATCAAAGGTAGCTATTTTTCTTTTATGTTGTATTGTATGCAGTGAAGTCATGATTTATCGTAAATTTCATCTGAAGATGAGATGTGACCGTCTCATGGTTGGACAGCAATGTTGAGAGATGCAAGTATATCCCTTCTAATTGACATTCTTATTTGGGTGAAAAGGCATAGTGTAGTTTGTTTACCAAATTTTACCTTTCTAATTGGATTTATACTTAAGTGGAAGAATAAAATCATAGGGCAAATTCAAGATATCTTTCCTTGGACTTTGATCTTAGCAAAATAATTTTTTGTCTTGTTTTGTATGGCTTCTTGATGACCCTGATTTTCTACCTTGTCCCAGTGGTACAAGGACATCTTTGGCAAACACAGGTCCTCTTGTTGACCTTCTTAGTGGCGATTTCGACACTCCTGCAGCTGAGAATCCACTAGCCCTTGTTCCTGTTAGTGAAGCACCTGCTGGTTCTGCAACTGAGCAGAATGCATTAGTCCTTTCAGATGTGTTTTCTCAAAGTAATAATAATAATGGCAATGATACTTCTACCGGTCCGTTCGATTCTCTATTAGAAACTCCAGCAGCACTGGCACATCCTTCTTCTCCTCAACCCACCCTTTACTCTGATGGAAACAACCCAAATTTAGAGGTATCCCAGTTTCAGCAGGTAGTTTATCAAGGAGTTCCTCATAACAATGCAAACCCTGCGTGGAATGGTCAAGTTGTTCAAGGCATGAATCTACAACAGCAACAACTAGGTAATGTTCTATGCGGCTTTAATACTTATATTGCTTGTGGAACATGGGTAGAATCAAATAAAACCCATAACTGTCGGTAAATACTTTAGTCGTAGAATCTTGAGAGTTGTAGACAGATAAGCTGACATTTTAGCATGCATAATTATGCTTGGTGTTATTTTTCAAAGGACATCAAAAGCTTGTATTCCATGGCATGGGTTTTGACCAGTTTCAGTTATTTGCTGTTCAAAACCAAATTGTCTCAGTACCTTATTTAAGGAGAACATGTAGATTTTGTATTGCACTATACATGTGTTGCATATACACTAATTCCACTGACATGATGAATTTCCCTTAATAGGTGCAAATGATCAAGGTCTTCCTCCTCCACCATGGGAAACTCAAATAGTTGAAAGTAGTCAAGTCGGTGATCCCCAGACTCTACCAAACATATACTCTTTGCCGATGCACAGCCAGTTGCCAGGACCATACTCCCAAACGATGCAGGATGGGCAACCTACAGCTTATAATGGCTACATTCAGCAGTATCAAACATCACTATATCCTTCTTATCCGAGTACAAATGAGATTTCTCAGGGGATGTATAGACTCTCTATGCAAGCTAACAGTTATCCAAATCAAGGATCTAGTTATCAAATGCCTACCTCTTCTCGTGTGCAACAGTTCAACAAGCCAGCTAAGCCTGAGGATAAGCTGTTTGGAGATCTTATTACTCTGGCTAAAATGGAGCGCAATAAAACTGCTACTAGGGATGCAGGGAATTCGTAAGATGAGAGTGGTTTGCCCTTTGTGTTTTCTTTTCCTGTTGATTCATTGATTCATTTCTTGTATCTTCTGTATATTGTTATATATGTTCTCGTGCTTTTAATCATGTATATGTTGTTTTTGGTAGCTGTTACGTGTATATATTCTTGTGGAAAATGAAAGTAGACAACAAGGATCACAATTTGGTTGAATATGGATCATATATACGACAGATGACCAAGAATATTTGGCTCTATAGGGCTCTGTTTATTTCAGAATCAGATTCACCAAAGTTCTGTTAAGTTCGATTGACAAACATACTTTTATCAAATTATGAACACTGTATTGTCTACAGAATTTTCAGCGGTTCACTATTTGAAGCTTTCTTATTCTATTTAATAATTGTTATTGCTTTGCATAATAATTCAGTGCGCACAGCTGCCCTATGAGAAATAATTTCAACATACCTCTGGAGTTACCTTTGTGCCTAATACGCGAATACTGGTCATACAAACACTGCATTCATCCGAGATCGGATTGGACAGAAGAATGTAGGGGAGGGGATGATTGAACTAAACCTGAGGGAACGAAAAGTAAAGGTAGAGAGCATGATGTAACTAATTGTGTTTAGATAGAAAACTAGTGAACGAAGAGGGAGGGAAAGTGATTGAATTAATTTGTGTTTGTTTAGTAAATAAGAAGAAAATGAAACAATATACTTAGAATCAAATCCCTCCCCCTCTCAATCCGTCCACCTTTTAAAAGGGTTAAGCAGCAAGAAAAAAGTGCTTCTTTGTAGCCCTCCCAATCTTTCCTCTCACTTACTGAAAAAAGTAAACAAACAAGTTTAGGAGGATGGTTGAAGTTGTAGCCTCCCCAACTCCTCCCCTCCCCTCTTAAGAAAAAAAGCTATCCAAAACCGTAACTCCAAGCTTGACCCAATTATTCTGAATAAAGCGCATCATTCGTTCGGAAGACTAAGCTGGGAATTTTGCTGCCGACACAAAGGCTGAGCTGAGCAACTGAGCATGCCAATTAAATTTTCACGCATGTGCAACAAACACAAGAGAACACATTATTTTATGGCACTTCTTTTCCTCTTCATGTGGTAAATAATATCAAACCGAGCTAGCCAGTAAAAATAGAGAAGTTCTGAACAGCTTGAGCAAATAAAATACAGCAAATTCAGTCGCTAAATAAAACAGTACAAGAGTATGGCATTTTATGACAGTTTTCTTGGTTCCCAGAACTCCAACTAATGAAGTTATTTCCATGATCACTTGTCTCAGAAATGTAGATATACTGGGCAGGATTCTTAACAAAAAAAAGAAGCTAATAAACAAAATCAATATTTCCGCGAGTACCAGACTTGCATTCTGTAATACAATAAACAAAATTGTTACTAGTTTCAGAATTAAAGTAGGAAACAAGCAAGCCTCCATCTTGAGCCATCAGCCAACAGACAATGCCGTCATAAAGGCATTGCAAGTCCTGGAAAAGAGACCAACTGCTTAGTAGAAAAACAGATACAAATATCACAAGTGACGACAATATGTTGAATGTTATGATTACCGGTAAAAAACGGTCACATAATTCTTCAAAAATAAGTAAGATACTAATTGCATATAGCAAATTTAAGAGTGAAGGAATTGTAATCTTTAATCTGGATAAGAATCTAGTGGGTGTGTGGATGCCGCTAGCTCCAGAGGTCAATAGCTAAATTAAAACCATAGCTAGTGCCCATGGACCTACAGATCTCTATAATTAATGACTTGAAATCTAGTAATCATTGTTTAAAAAAACCCGTTACATAACTTACATTATGTAACCTAACAGGCCTTAAACGTTACATAACCTTGTGAAATAACTCATATACATCATAACTCTACGTTATTATAAAATTATGTGTTATTTCAATGTAACTTGCGTTATTTCAACATAACATGTGTTATTCAATATAAGGTCCAGAGACTTGAGTGTATATATCATTTCTTAAAACTTGAAATAGTTAAATAAATGCTTCTGAATTGTTTGTTAAAGCCTTCATGTCTTGTCGTGAGGACATCATTATATAATCGTAAAATTATGAATATGACTAATAAAACAAATGTAATTATGGATGAGCTATAAATTCATGACTATATATTTGAGTATTCGATTGTGATATTTCCTAGTAAATCTATATAGCTTGTATTAAATTAAAGAATTTATATTAAAATATTTTTGTATTATGATATTTTGTTCATAATTCCTAAAATTATTATGAACATCCTTTATATGTTTTTGAATTAAACAGTAAGAAAATATTTTGTCCCTAATTCAGATGTTATGTTTGAAAATTTTGATGATTCTAATTATTGAAGTCATTATGAATAGTTTTTATATATATACAAATATGTAAATAATTAATAAAAAAAATATCCTATGTTATTGATTATATTTTTTTGCTCTTTTTTCTTTAACCCTTAACAGTAGGTAGAGCATTATGTTGTGCGTTATCGTTATTGTCAATATTGATAGTAATATCATTATTCTTGTTGGGTACTAGTATATGACAGCTTCTATGAAAATGCCTCCCTATGACTACCGGACCGCCTGGAGGTTTGCACAAGTATCAACAAATGCTTACCAGACTATACAGCGGATTCAAAGTAAAAAAACTGCTTATGGCAAGACCTGAAATATACCTTCATTAGGTTCCCCCAGGTAGAAACATGCTTCTATCTATGCTTGCACATGCAACATTTTATAGGAAAATGAAACATTGATTAGTTCTCTATGCCAAATGAAAAAGAGATGCTCCTATTTAGGTTCACTAAGTGTTGATTGAACCTGTTATTATTCCCCCGGTACACAATAATTCACTATGTGCTCTGATTCTTTCTGTTGATTCTTGCTTAAATCTGGGCATTAAAGATGGTCAAAGTGGGAATATCTTTTCTAGAATAGCAAAGCCAGTACTTACCTGCACTCCTGACACCAGGAAACTTACTAGTATTAGACTTACATGAGGAGATATTCACTACAAGTTCTATATTCTTCAGGAATCATAAAAGTTCAAGGAAAAAAAGACCTGCTCATCTTATAATCAAATATCAAAAGAATTTTGTATACATCTTTATCCACTCTCTTATAAACCATATTTAATTTTTAGAGTAAACTGCAAAAAACCACCTATGCTATCCATGTCAGCCAGTAAACCACTCTGAACTATGGAATCCACAGCAAAATAAAACCCTTCGCACTATGCCTAACTTCAAATCCATGCCGAAGGCACATCACACAGTCATCTGTTACTGCATGACTTGAATTGGTCACTACCCTCATTAAGCTGACAAGCAGATTTCAGGTCAAATGCCAAAAGGAATCCTATTTGTGTACTCATATGCTGTCTTACCAACGATATTTTAACTTTCAGGGAAAATTGCAGAAACATCCCTTATGCTGTCATAAACCCTTTTGAACTACGGAAATCCATAGAAATTTTCTTATACTGTAAAATTGCCAAGATGATCTCGTAAACTGATATATGTGTTTCAATTCATGGGATACTACTCGGTAGCATCCTTATTATTAATGATTAATGATTCATGGTAGGAATGGTGAAAGCTGATAGTCATGCGAACCACCCGAGTGTTGCAAAGCCACAAAGGGGGTTTCTTATATTTCACATAATGACATAACTTGGGGAATTTATTCTCATAAGTAAGGTTGTGCACCAAAATTTACAATTCTCAGCTTAAAGAGCCTGAATAACGAACTAGAAACAGGGAACCCAATCTCCAATTAGGATATCTATGACCTTGATCTTGTGAGTTTATCTTTCTCATTTCTAAAACTCCCGCCATTTTTTATGATAAGATATCCAAATTATGAGATTCCCAAATCCAAAAATTACATTATGGAAAGTGAAATCAAGAGTCAAGTCTGGAGCATAGCAAATGACATGATTAGCAACTGGCAAGGAACCTCATAATACAATTCCAGTAAAATTAGGAATGAGTGGTGAAAGAGCCTTCGCATTACCCATGTACATGCATGTGACTGTAGCTTCAATTTCTAACACAAAGTGACTTGAAAATAAAGAATATAAATAATTGAGAAATGTTTAGTGCTATTAAGTTAGTCGGTGATTTCTGTGGAGGGATTATTTGAAAAACTTAATTTCTTTCAAGGGAATAATTTGAGCTCTGAAACGAGTAAGGACTAATGCGTGCTTTCAATCTACAAAGACCGATTTGTCACTTTATTTGAAATTCATAAGATATTCATAGCTATATAAATTAAAAAGGTATAGTTTACAAATTAGAGTTGCATGTGAATTCTTTTTTAAGGGAGAAAAGAAACAATAAACAGTGAAATATGTTAATCCCATATAGTGAATTATTGGAACAAAGAAATAGAGGAGGCCCATATTGTGATCGGAGAAAGGGATAAACAAACTAATATAACTTGGACCAGGGATATGTGAAGGTCAACAAATCTCAGACTCAGGTTTCGATCCCCTTGTGTTGCAGACCTAAGAAGAACATGTTACAATTTACTCAATATCATGACATAATTAGGAGCACAACACGTTTAGTTTAAGGACATTTCTAATTAAGAAGACCACCCACCAGGTTAAACTGGATAGAATTAAATCAAAGATAGTTTTCCCCTTTTCTTAAAATGTTTGTAGACATAACAGCGAATTACATTCACAAATCATTGCTAATTCCATAAAAAGAACCATCACCACGAATCTACGTCATCAAAAGAGAAACTAAGAAGAAAGATCTAACCTTGAGGGATCCAACCCCAGCTCTGAGACTCCGCAGACAATTCCGATCTCAGACGAGCAGAAGCAATCGCGCTATGAAGCGGCAGCATCGTCATCAAACAGCTCGAAGCCACAGGTAATCTGAGATAGAAAAACCCTAGTTAACACAATAAAAATACGATCCCAACGTTATTATTATTATTATTATTTTTTGAAAAATCGTACCTCGAGAGGATGGAAGAGCGCCGAACAGGATGAGAAAGCGAAGGAGAGAACTCGGAGGGGATCGAAGGTTTCTTTGAGGGAGGCTTGAATGCTAATGAAATGGCGCGAGATAAAACCCTAGATCGAGCGACGAAGGGAGAAGAAGCTGACATTTTTGCTCGCTAGTGTGCCGCGACAAAGAGATTTGAGGTTTTCCGAGGGTTTTTCTGCAGCGGGGGTAAAACCTGGACCCCAACTCTACAAGGGGGATATATTCATTTGCAGAAAAAAAAAGGTTCAAATTGCCCTTAAAATGCTATATAGTTCCACTAATTTAGCATTTAAGTGATCTATATTTTATAATCAAGCAAATAAATGCTTCAAAGCATTTAACTATTATAGTCCAAGTTTAAAAAGAACTCTGTTATCTACATATCCCAAAAGTGAATCTTTCAGAAATTTTAGGGTATTTAAGTGAGACCATTGGGTGTTTATATGCAACATTGGGTAAAGAAAAGGCACCAAAATGCAACATTTTGAAACTCTAAAGCATTTGTCTATAATATTTAAATATTCTAGGGCATTCGTTTTCTTTATTTTAAAATAGAGATCACTTAAATGCAAAGTTGGTAAAACCATTAGGTGTTTATCTAAGCGCAATATAGCTAGGAATAAAAATCCAATAAAACCCTTTATAATAAAATCTTATAACAGACGGCATTGAGATCAATGTGTAACATGAATTTGTTGATTATAATCGAAACATATTTAGATTGGATGCTTTACATTGGTATTTACTGTGACGCCCCAGGGTTCACACAAGGCTGCAGTCCCAGGTGAAACCCGGATTGTCAAACCTGCCAAGCACCAACCACCATGCTATGACAAGTTTCACCATCACAATCACCATCTCTCTAGTGGAAACAATAAATAGGTGAAGGTACAAACAGGTAAAAAAAAATAGAAATAGGACAACACTGGAGATACACAAAAGAAGCATAAGAAAAATCAATAATGAGCCCAACTGGAATAAAATAGACACATCTCTGAGTCTGAACTGAATCTCAAATACAATGAGTCACATAAACAAAGTCTCACAATAGCTCTCAACTCTATGAAACAAAATACCAATCTAGATTCTGAAATTTATCAACTACATATGGAGTTCTGCAATAACTACAAAATATGATAAGTAACTAAATGGACAACTAAGAAGTCCCATCAACATGCGACTCTCCGTGCGCCAGACTCGCTGCCTGAAAGGGGGGAAAAATAACGAGCATCAAAGCGCTAGCGAGATCATCACTACCTCTCCCCAGGGGAAGGGGTAGGAGTATATAAGAAAATAGAGTCAGTACATACATATATCAAATCATTCATATAACTCTCTATGAATGAAAAACAAATAATCAATGATAAATACTCCAATCTCCAATATAAAGAATAATCATCTCATCTCGAATTACGTCTGAGTGACCTGCTCTAATATAAGAGGATACCAACTAAGCTAAAACAAATATATCTGCCGTCCATAACGGGTGTATCAAATTCTCAAAGGAAATACCCTACTCGCAGGCAATCTATCATGGAAGTAAAACATACAACTGATCAAATATTTATGTGTGCATCATCTTGTACTATAGCAATACTTTTGTAATGCTCGTTACTCAATCGCTCTGCGGTAATAGGGTTTATTATTTTCCTATTCCGGATACATATAATAACGATACTGTTGTAATACTCTTACTCAATCGTTCTGTGACAATAGAGTTTATTATTTTCCAATTCTGGATACATATAATAACGATACTATTGTAATACTCTTACTCAATCGTTCTGCGACAAATAGGTTTTATCTCCCTATTTTCGGATATATGAAATAACTATACTCTTTCATATGTATTCATCAGCTCAACGTGCGACAAAAAATATGTTAACACAACATAATCTAAGTGTACGTGCACATATCTCGGTGTGCGTGTCCATATCTGGTGTTCATCATTATCACAGATGTTAAACAACTCTTAAGCATTGTATATAACAGTACAAGATTGAGAAACTCTCTCAAAAATAACAAACAAGAGCGAAACTCAAGAAACCTTTATGTAATATATTAATTTATTTTAAATCAGCACATCTGCAGTTTTCTGCAGAACATATCATTAGTAAATTGAGAATATCTTTATCTGGACAAGCTCTTTTTAAGAATACTTACATAGCTATCATTTGACACCGATTTGGCTCAGTTTGGAGTTCATATGATATTTCTAATTTCCAGTCAAACATTTTATATGTGAAGCAGATTTTCTGCAGGATATATCATCAGTAAAATGAGCATATCTTTCTCTAAGAAAACTATCTTTAGGTATGGTTTTCTGTTTTAAAAACTAGATTCACATATCTTTCAATTGGCATTAGTTTGGTTCAATTTGGATTTCATTTGTTATTTTAAATTTCTAGTTCAATAGTATATATGTGCAGCAGATTTTTAGCAGAACATAACAAGCATGATTATTTGCACAAGAAATCATATGTAAACCTTCAATCATGCACGAAACTTTAAAACAAAGAATAAGACATCTAAATTCAGATAAACAATATTTTAAATTATTTTTAGATCTTAAAACACTTTTGTAAATTCGTGCTTAATCTCTTTAATATGAAAAGACCTAGTCTTTATACATATATACAAATGATCCAATTTTTATACACAAATTAATTGATTAGGCTCTATAAAACTCATTAAAAACTCTTTAAAAATATTTTAAAAACTGGGAGGGGGATTAATAGAGATGATACTCGCCTGGGGTTGAAGGAAAAACTTATTAGAAGCAACGTCGAAGGAGATCTCCACTCCAAAAGCCAAAAAATCAACAAAAACCCAACTTGAAAGCCTCCAATTTTCTCCAAGAATTCAAAATAGGGTTTATGGGGGTTTGGTGGCTGTTAGGGTTCTTAGATATGATAAAAGAAAGGAATTTTCGTAAAAAATACAGGTATTTATAGAGGCAAACCCGAAACAAACCTGTTAGACCCGAACCAGGAAACCTAGTCTGACTAGGAAAATACCCATTCGGTATTTTAGTTATAACTTTCTCATATGACCTCAGAATGAGGTGATCTAAGACTTGTTGGAAAGCTGTTGAAGAGACCTACAACTTTGGTTTCTTATACTTTTCCAAATTCAAACTACATCGGTGTGCAAAATATAAAAACTTATAACTGATCATTATTCCCAGATTTTCACTCTTTTGGCCTTTGTGCATATTTTGTGCATTTGCACTCATATTTTCACAAATATATATTGAATTGATATCAAATCAATTCTTATCATATCCAAACATCAAAATATATTATTTTTACCATATAACATATTTATCATTATTTATCATAAAGTATTCAAATTTACGGGGTTTTACATTTACCAATGGAATTGGTACTATATACTATCATACATCTAAATCAGGACAAATTTTCAAAATAGTCTCATTTACAAAAAATATTTCCAAAAAACGACATGTTTCAACAAAATTCGTCAAAACCGACCTAGTTTCAGCCGTCGGGCTGAAGCTAGGTCGGTTTGGACAGAAAAAAAATATGAAACTTCATGGGACTTGGCAGCCATATAACTAAGCTGCTAAACTTCACGGGACTTCAAGTCTCGTCAAGTTTCATAGTTCAAAACAACTTCACGGGACTTGAAGTCTTGTGAAGTTTGAGTTGAATTTCTAGAGTCAAGTCCCGTGAAGTTTGAGCTGAATTTCCGAACTCTGGAAATTCAGCCTGCAACTTCACAGGACTTCAAGTCCCGTGAAGCTACAGGTTTTAAAAAACATGCACAACATGATGTGCATGTTTTTTATATACGCAACGGTTTTCCTAAATGCATTTCACAACAATATACATGAAATTTTCGCCATGACTCAAACAATATATACTGAATCAAACAATAATCAAACAATATATACTGAACAAACAAGTTGTCCACATATATACTGAATGACAAAAATGTTCTTAAAATCCAGCCATGAATCAAACACGATTCTCAAACAATACTCACGAAAATCACATATATAAACAATAATCGATCCACAAAAGTATAGTATTTGGAAAATCATAAAAGTAACAAATTTCAACAAAATAAGATCACATACAACCCAAAATTCCTCCTCCTTCCTCTCCCTCCCCCCTTCCCCTCGCTCTTCCCCACCCTTGCGTTCATGCTGATGAGCCTCGATGATCTGAGTATCTGATTGTGTATAAGGCTGAGAAGTACCGGCTCCATCAACATGCGAAGTGCCGGCTCCATCATCACCTGGCCTACGTCGTCGCGTGTCCAATTTATCAAATAATATCTTAATAAAAAAATTATTGTTTCCATACTTCTTTTTGAAATTGTCCCTAATATGTCGCAAGCGATAACGATGTTGATGGGGCGACAGGAAATACCATTGGAGTACTATTGGAATTCCTTTCATCCTATCAAATATGAATGTAATCGACCGCACCCCCACACTAGGAATATGATATCTAATGCATGCAAAAAATCACGCCCAATTGTCTGTGTTTTCAACATCAACCACTGTAAATGCTAAAAGAAATAATCTGTCATCTGCGTCAACTCCGGTTGCAACAAGCCATATGCCTTTGTACTTATCGTACAAGTGGGTGCCATCAATGCTAAGAAGAGGACGACAATATCTGACACCCTTAATACAATGCCCAAATGCCCAAAATACACTTGTGAACCGTCGTTCTCCGCCATCAACAGTGTCTGATGATACTTCATAGACTATCCCCGGATTTTCTCTTTTGAGTGCTTCGAGATAATGTGGTAAGATCTCATAAGATTTGTCTCAATCTCCGAATATTTTTATCATCGTCTTCCTCCTAGCATTCCAACATATGTTGTATGATACATCCAAATTGGTCGTTTTATGCACTAAAAACGAATATCTTTTGGCCTTAGATCAAGATCCTCCCTTAGATTAGGCATAATCAATCGATATATGAAAGAGGCGGACGCGTGCTTATGGTTCATCTCTAATCAAGGATTGCTACATGTGTGGAGTCCGTTGCAGTGTGTGATTTTAAATTGTCCGCCTACTCTCTTACACCCAAACATGAATTAAGCTTCTAAGGACATTTTGTATTACCGTCATGGTGCCCACTACTATCATCTTCTTCGCCATCTTTATGGTAAAAACAAACCACATTATAGCTTGTTGTATTGTTTTTTGTTGGCCTAAACTTGA